GTTTATAATATGATATTAGTTCTGCTTCTTGTTTGATCGTAACTATATTTATCTGTTGGTAAATAAAAGAAATCAGTTGGAAAAAAAAGTGCACATCATTCTTACTAAATAATGAGCTTCAAACCTATTAAAGTTGTAATCATTAATCGCTAAAAACTTTTGATTTTGAACGACTATAACTTAAGTAGTTGTATTTTGACTATTTTTATGAAATTTTCTTGATTGTTAAACTTGCATAAGTCGAGAAAATGTTAATTCATATATACATTCTTACTTCTTAGGATGCTTCAATTTGGTCAGATCATTTTAAACATGAGATGCAAGGTTGTTAACAAGCATTCTAAATCCACTTCATATCCATGATATATTTTGCGCGATTGGCATTGAGTAGGCGAAAAAGAGAATGATATTCTTTTGCAACATCAATCCAAAGTGCCGGCCTGATGAATAATTTCCACAGCTAGACCTCATCAAGTTTGGGTCGCCTTTTTAAAAATATTAATAGTTTTAGGGTTTTTTGTCAATATTATATTTTTGGGTTACCTAAGAAATATGATAATGATAATTTTCTATTTGTCCACCAAGATGTTCATATCATTCGATTGGAGTGATAAAAAGAAACTTATATATAATAAAAAGATGTAAAGTATACAAGTCGTGGATGAGTGATTTTTATTTTGGGAAGAATTGTCAAAATGATTTGTTTTTTTTTTAAACGTCAAATTATTTAACTATTTTTTTGTTCACTAACCAAAATATTATTATATTTTTAATCCTTCAACAAATCCGATGAGAATACTATTTGACGACTATGCGCATCTTAAAAAAAGAATCGGTATTTATTTGTATTCTTTCATATTGTTGTTTACTTGTTTTTGCTAATTCTTTTTCATAAATGAAAAAAAAAATCAGACAACAAACAATATACATACGAAATTAATCTAAATTAAATTGGACTGATTTAAAACCATACTCCATAACCAGTTTAGTTTTCTTAGATCAATGTCTAAGGAAATTTAATTAACTTTTCGTTTCAATATAATTTAATATTTTTCATAAAATATCATGTCATTGGTCATCGCTCCATTATCAATATAATTTAACAAATGCGAGTAGACCCGTGTAAGCGATCACCGCTCCATTATCAATACAGTATCGGTCATCCGTTGCAAACAGCTTACCATCACGCTCAGAGCACATCATCTCCTGCAAACGCTCATTGCACCTTACACCGCCAACTATCAAAACGTCTTTCTTGTCACAATGCGCCACGCTCTTTCCGTAATCTCAACCAACATATTGCAAACAATGTCTCCTGCGAGATCAACAATCATATATTGAACAATTTTGCATTCTCTGTGGCGAAATTGATCGTTATTCTTGAGCTTCTCCTCTGCGGTAATTTCGATATAACTCAAGATTCCGCTGAACGATACATCCATACCTTTAACAGCATACGGAAGATCGATAATTTTTTCTCCTTTCTTAGCGAGCTAGGAAAGAAAAACAAACATTGGATGAATGTCATTTAACACAGTGTCTTAAAAGTCTCGAATAGATTCGGAAATTACCTGCTCGATGTTATAGCCAGGACTTGGATCATTGGATAGATTCAAGACTCTAGCAAACCGGTCCAAGCAATTACCAATAGCAATA